AGACCACCGCTCCCCTGCCAACGGGGCAGGGAGGGCGCGGGCGTGGGGGGGGCGCAGGGCTGTGAGGGAGAGGGGCTGGGGGTCGCCTGATGGCCGCGGCTGCGGGTGAGAACCCAGGGCCGGGCCGGAGGCAGGGGTGCGGTGGGTCAGCACGGAGGAGGGGGCTAGAGTATGCGCACATACTCTCATACATGGGCATAGGGCTGCCATGGGAAGGGGAGAGTGGACACGAGTGTGTTTCTCCTCCCACGCCATCCCCTGCTGCCGCACCCGCTGGAGTTGCCAGTGAAGGAGTGGGATCGATGATATCCCTCCACAGGGTGGGAGCCTGTTGGGGTTTTTTTTCTCACCGTCCCCTCCTCCTGCCCGCAGACAAAGCCACAAACCCCCTGAACAAGGACCTGGACTGGGATGGTATCAATGCATTCTGTGAGCAGCTCAATAAGGAGCTAGAGGGGTAAGTGCTTTGTCCTTTCCCCAGGCTTCTCCAGGTCACAGGCCTGGTTATGATTTCCCACCTAGCAAAATCCAGAGGGATTGTCCCAAGAGCTGAATAGGCATGAAGGCCCTCGAGGTGGGGGTAGGTGGGGGGTCCTGGTCTACTAATAGAAGGTTTCCTCCGGATTTTGAGCTGTCTTAGTGCCTTATCAGCATCTTCAACTTGCAACATGCTTTTCAACTCTGGATTCCCAGACAAAGACCAGGCTTTTTGTCAATAACCAGCGAGCTTTTCTTTTCCCCTCACTCCTTCCAGTCCTCCACTTGCCACCCGGCTTCTTGCCCACAAGATCCAGTCTCCACAGGAATGGGAAGCTATCCAGGCCCTCACGGTAAGGGCATCTGCAGGCTGGTAAAACTAGATGGAGGGGCAGGGTGTGGAGATGCTCCAGCTTGACTGGAGAAGCACAGGAAGCTTTGAATTCCCTCTGAGAAAGCCCTGGAGCACGTGGGCCCTTGGGTGGGAGAGGGACTGAAGGTGGTTCCACAAGTCAGGAGAAGTTACTTGGAAAGGTTTTGCTCCTGGAAGGATCACAGCCTGTTGAATAGGAAGCTTTTTGGCTTTTGTTGTGGTGGCCTTGGTTGGTGCTGCACTAATGGTTGGACTGTATGATCTTGATGATATTTTCCAACCTAAAGGATTCAATGATTCTTAATCATGTTGTGGATCCACACTTTGAAACCCTGGTCCTTGTGCAACCTCTAAGGGTGTCCTTTTTAATGGGCTGTTGAGCCGTCTCTGCAAAAACTCACCCCAAAGATGAGAATCTCGCTTCCCTGTGGGAGGGTGCTTGACCACCTGGGAGGGAACAGGGGATGTCCCTTTGTGCTGCTGTGACAGTAGCCACAGACTCTGTACCTGGTGAGGGGGAAGCAGGAAGGAGCTGGCTCCTGATCCTGGTGCTGACCTCAGGCTGGGACTCACCTGGCCCCTCTCCCCAGGTGCTGGAGTCCTGCATGAAGAGCTGTGGCAAACGCTTCCACGATGAGGTGGGCAAATTCCGCTTCCTCAATGAGCTCATCAAGGTGGTGTCCCCTAAGGTGGGTGTCACGGTGTTGTGCTGGAAGGGACTGGTGCCTGGTGGCAGGAGGGCTTTGGGAAAAAGTGGTGGCTGAGCAGAAAGGTCAGACGCCCATTGGGATGTGGGCAAAACAGGACAGTGTTAGTAGGAGATCTTGTCCTTGTTTCCCAGTGAGTTTTCTGGTGGGGAGTGAGTTTTCACCCCTCTATTCCTGGCTGATTCTTGTTGTAGGAAGCTGAGGGCCACCTGGACATGGTGCAGCCAGCAATTGTGAGAATACTGAGCCCATGTGCATGCCTGGAGTCACCTTCCTGGCATCCCTGTTGGGCTCTGTCTGTGCTGCATGTGCTCAGGAACCTCCCCCAGCTTTGACAGGACCATGTCTCTTTGGGGTGTCCCAATCTGATTGAGACACTCTTGGAGGGCAAGCCCAGGCTTGGTCAGTGGTGTTCTGGTGAGTCCATCTGAAGGACCAAGTCATTACCTGCTCCTGTGCTGATGCTGCTGTTCCTGCAGCAGAACAAGCTGTGTGGGCTCCCCTATTCAGTCAAGGTAGTGACTTACACCAGCAAGCGTAGAGTTAAGGGAACACAGGCTAAATATGACTAAAGAAAACCTTTGTCTGCCAGTCACAGCTTGTGATCTGTGATGATGAATAGCCCTGGACAGTGACAGCAGCATCCTAAAGTCCTCTTGCCTGGCACCCTAGAGTTTGTCCTCTGCTTTAAGCCACTTGTCTGGTGGAACATGCACTGTTGCTGCCACCAGTGCTCCCATCAGACCTGTGTGAGAAGGCTGAGAGATGATTGAATGGCACCTGCTGGGTGCTGGTCATCTGGGGCTCACTTTGCTCAGGGCCCTGCCTCAGAGACCATTGCCTACATGCCTCTCCCAGCCCTGCTGTCCCCTCATTCCTAAAGAGCTGCCTTGCTGAGCAGCTTCTTTTCACAGGACTCTTCCCTTCACAAGGTGACAGGAGACTTGCCTGAGCTTTCCCACCTGTCCCTGTGTGTTGCTGAGGAGCTGCTGCTGCAGCATTTCTCACCCTCTCTTGTTTTTCCTGTGATGAAAACCAGGGACAGCATAAGATGAGTTGTAACACCCTCATGAGCTTTCCTGCTTGCTTCCTCTTTCCTCCTTGTGCCGTTGGGAACAGTCTCACTTCTCCTGGGAGGGCAAGAGAGGAACAGGCCAGACTTGCAATGGCTCAGGTCAGCTTCAAGCCACTTATTTTCTCTTCCTTTAGTATCTTGGCAGCCGGACATCAGAAAAAGTGAAGTCAAAGATCCTGGAGCTGATGTACAGCTGGACATTAGGGCTGCCTCATGAGGTGAAGATATCAGAAGCCTACCAGATGCTGAAGAAGCAAGGTGAGAGGTAGTGGTCTGGAAGGGGCAGGTGGACAGATGGTTTTTCCCTCCTTCATTTTTTGTCTGGGCAAAATCTGAAAAAAGCTCTCCCTTCCCTCTGCACAGACCCAGGACCTCCATCAGTCTGACTCAGCACCAGGGTCAGGAGAATAAGCAGGTGCCTTGGGGCTCCTGGCTGAGCAGAGGGAGTTGCTGGTGATGAGTTGCTGGGTTGGTTGGCACATCTGCTTGCTCACATGGGAGATGGGGCACTGGAAGGTTCTGGGCTTGAAGGGCTGCAAGTGCTTTGGCAGTATATACTGGAATTTTCTAGGAGGGGATATTTATGGGGAATGGAAACACAATCCAGGATCTTGGGTAACAGGATAACCCACACACCCGTAGTCTCAGCTGGATTTGGTGGGCAATTAGGGAAAAAAGACCTGAATGGCAGTGCCATCCCTGAGTGAGTGGGTCCTCATGATCTCTCCTTTGGTTTCTACTGCAGGGATTGTGAAGTGTGACCCCAAACTTCCCGATGATGCTCCTTTTCCACCGCCTCCTCCTCGACCCAAGAACATCATCTTTGATGATGAAGAAAAATCCAAGGTAAGGGCTTTGTCCAAGGACAGTAGGCGTCATCTTCCTGCTCCAGTACCTTATTTCCCCCAGATACATGAGCATCAAGGTCTCTGTTCCACATGCTGTCCTTCAGAAAATGCATCATGGGAATGCTGAGGGCCTGTTCCAAAATCATGACAAAGGAAACAACTAGAAGAGTGGGGCATGTGGGTCTGTTTGACCTTTGGAGCACTTGGCTGCAGGATGGTGCAAAGGGTAATGCTCTGACATTGGCCCAAGCAGGTTCCAGGAGGTTTGCTGCTGTGAGCTCTCTAGATTTCGGAGTTATCTGACCATGAGGTTTAAATCCCAGCCCCAGATGCTGCTGCTGTTATCTCATCTCCACCCCCAGCACTGCAGTCTTATTGCCCAACCACTTATAGCCACCTGGACCCATCCTGTGTTGTCTTTCCATGAGAATTGTGTCACCACTCAGGCAAACCTCTGCATTATCAGTGCTGATACTTTTAAGCAAGTATTGGGCTCCTCTGGGTCTAGTTCTGCAGCAGGAGCATGATGGCAGTTTACTGCAAGGGATATAGTTTGCCTCTGTGGGTCAGAGTCTGCAAATGAGGATTTGTAGGCAGGCAGTGGGACTGTTCACTGACCATACAGAGGGAGAGAAAGTGGGAGCTCTTCACCAGCAAAGAGGTGTGCGAAGATGTCTGAGTAGGAGTCCATTACAACGCCATGGCAATTCTTGCAGAAACCAGGCTTTCTGGTCTCTTTCTGGCTTTTTAGTCTCAGTGCTGCTGCACTCCAGACTTTCCACAGTGGGTAAGGGGCAGGCCAGAGCAGGTTCTGAAAGAAGGGGATCTTCAGGGAAAGACCTAGCTTGCATAACCAGAGCTACAACAGCAAAAGGAATGCCAGTTGTACTCTCCCTGGTCTCTGATAGCCCACAAGCTCCTGTGGCTGGGCTCTCTAAAAGGTTAAAATTGTCCACTGCCTCTCCCAGGTTTGGGATGGGGGAACTGTTGGCTCTAGTGTTGCAAGTGTGACTCTGGCTGCCATCCCTCAGCTTGGAGTCAGAAGTACCTTCTCTTTTGCAGACGCTGGCTCGCCTCCTGAAAAGTTCCCATCCTGAGGATCTCCGGGCTGCCAACAAGCTCATCAAGGAAATGGTTCAGGAGGTGTGATGGGGGAAGAAGGGAGCTGGGGGGTCATGGTCTGCGTGGTGGTGGTTGGCACCAAAGGAAGACTGGTTTTGTGACCTCATGCAGACATATGGAGCTTCTGCCCAAAATTTGGCTGCAGCAGCTGTGAGAGAGTCCTTGTGTGAGTTCTGCCATCCCCTGGCTACTTGGAGGAATGGGTCTGGGTGCATTTTGTGGCCCAAATCCTGCTGCAGCACTACATCTACAGGAATTCCATCCCTGTCTGGCATGTTCCTGCCCAGAGATGACCTGGAGTTTTCCACTGGAGTGGGAGCTGTTTTGAGGGCAGTGTTGCTGGGCTTTAGTCCAGGGTGGTTGGCTGGCATGGCCTTCCTCCTCTCCAAGTTAGGACATCCTTCCCCATCTGCTTCCCGTCCAGGACCAAAAGCGCATGGAGAAGATCTCCAAGAGGGTGAATGCCATTGAGGAGGTGAACAACAACGTGAAGCTGCTGACAGAGATGGTGACAAACTACAGCAAGGGGGAAACAACAGAAAGCAATGAGGACCTAATGAAGGTGAGGAAATGCAATCCCAGAATCCTCCTTGAGCTCAGCAGAAATGGGTGACCCTTATCCCCTTATCCTCCTACCTATTTTGCACACCCAGCTGAGCATCCCGCTGCTCAGGATGCTCACCTCATCACTGTATCTCCGCTCCCCCAGGAGCTGTATCAGCGCTGTGAGCGCATGAGGCCCATGCTTTTCCGGCTCGCTAGTGACACAGAAGACAATGATGAAGCTCTAGGTAAACATATCTGGCCTTTCTCTTTCCTGCTGAGGCTGCCCTGGAGGTGTCAATGTACCCTGCTGCAGCTTGCAGCAATAGTGGTGAAAACACTCTGCAGTGGTTTTGTTTGCAGCAACTTGGGCCTTGTTTTGAAGAAACAGACAGAGTTGAGGTATAAAAGTTACTCTCTTCACTCTTCTCACACTTATTTTCAGCGGAGATTCTGCAAGCCAATGACAATCTGACCCAGGTGATCAATCTCTACAAGCAGCTTGTTCGGGGAGAAGAGATCAATGGGGAGACAGTGGCAAGTCCTCTTCGAGGTGAGAAGACTTGAAGAATGGAGACAGGAAGGTCAAGCAGAGGGACCCTGTTGCTGGTGTCCTGCAGAGTCAGAGAAGACTGAGAGAAGTGGAAAGGGGAAACCTGTGGGAGCTTAGAGCGGGGCTGGTGAGATAAGGAAATGGCTTATGGATGTGACTGGTGCATGAAGAAAGGGAACTGGAAAGGAGAGCAGGGGGGTGTGAGGAGGCTATGAGTGTAGCCTCACTACACTGCATAAGGACTGGATAACGTTTTCAGATTCTTTTCTTTTTGCAGGCAGCACTTCAGCACTTCTAGATCTATCTGGCCTGGAGCTTCCAGCAACATGCCCTTCCTACCCAGCTCTGCCCACCCTTTCAGGTGGCTCAGCAGTCCCTGTGCCTGACCAAGCTGGCTCTGTCTCCTTGTTGGATGATGAACTCATGTCTTTAGGTGAGAAATCCAGGGCTAAAGCTCTTTATTCTTTGACTCTGGATAGTTCTTCTTTGGCAGGAACATGAATAAAAGATAGCTGTGGTAGAAGTGAATAATGAAAGACAGAGAGGTGTCCTTCATTTAGTGTGAGGGAGAGGAGGGAAAGACCCTGCTATGATTCTGAACTTCAGTCCCATGGTGGTGTTTTCTTGGCTAGTTAGAGAGAGCCTGTAGGGATGTGCCCACTGATTTGCTGTAGGTAAACTGACCTGGCAGGTAAATCAAGAGTGATGCAATGGCCATCCCCAGATGGGATCACAAGGGTGGATCACCCCTGGCTCCTCATGTTTTCTGTTTGCTGTTAAAGTCATGAGCTGACAACAGATGCATGGGACTTCCAGAACTGTTCACATGAAATCATGTGAGGTGCCACTCCTAGAAAGGTCTAGAGTCCTGCTTTGCACAACCAAGTGTCTGTTTCCTAAGGCAAGTGCTTTTGAGTACAACAGCATCAAGTAGACAACATGGTCAGTCACATTGGTCAGCTCAGTAGTATTCTGGATTTTTCTGCCAATTGCAGTGAGAAATAAACTATAAATTAATGTATCTGGACAGAAAAAACCACTATCACCCTCCTGGCTCTCCCCCATGCAAGGATGGGGACCAGAGATGGAGACCACATTGGCAGTTCTGCCCTGTGCTTCTGTGTCTTACTCAGGCCACATTTAATGTTCTTAATGATTTGGTAGGTAAACTCCATGTTTGCTTTTACTCCTGGCAGGCCTGAATGACCCAGCACCACATCCTGTCCAGGCTGGTGACAGCAGTGGCTGGAACAGCTTCCAGGTAATGCGCTGGGAGCTAATGCAGAGGGTGATAAAAGCAACAAATGTAGGTAGGGAAACATGCCACATCTGATATGTCGCCCTGCTTTGGGGCTCTCCTGTGTGCTCTTTTCAGTCTTCAGACAGCAATGAGCTCAGTATCACCCCTATCATGGCAACACCATCAGTCAAAGCAGATGCTGGTGCATCCTCCCCCAAACCGTCTCCTAGCAGCAGTGGCCTCGATGACCTGGACCTCCTGGGCAAGACACTGCTGCAGCAGTCTTTGCCTCCAGAATCTCAACAAGTGCGATGGTAAGCACTTGGTAGTGCAGTCTCGTATCTCTCCCTATTGTTTCCATTTTTTTGAGGTGCTGGGCAGCATTTCAGTGCCCTGTTACACTTCTTGCTCTCTCTCCCCCCCTGCAGGGAGAAGCAGCAACCACCCCCTCGGCTCACCCTGAGGGACCTGCAGAACAGGAGCAATTCTGGCACCGCAACCCACAATCCCAGTGCTCCGCCTGTGCTCCAGAGTATTTCCCCTAACCCCACGCTGCCTGTGACCTCAGAGCTGCCTGCCCCTGCTACACTTCCAAAAGCTGCCACCACACCAGCAGGAAGTACTGCAGTCCCACCACGGGCTCCTGCCACTGCGCTGCCCCAGGAGATCTCGCTGGCCAACATCACTGTGCCTCTGGAGTCAATCAAACCCAGTGAGCTGGGGAAAAAGAGGGGGGCAGGCATGGGGGGATTAAACCCCACACATGGAAGGGAAGAATGTGAAGAAACTTCTTGCTTGTTGGATTTTTTGGAGGCTGAAGAGGAATGGTGTCTCTGTCACTTGTATGGAGTTAGGGCAATAGGGAAAGGTGGCTGTCAGGCCAGTTCCCTCCTGGTTGACTGGTGCCTGTCCCTGCCTTTCCCACAGGCAGCATCCTCCCTGTGACAGTGTATGATCAGCATGGCTTCCGTGTCCTCTTCCACTTTGCTAAGGATGCTCTGCCTGAGAGACCTGATGTGCTTGTGGTGGTGATTTCTATGCTTAGCACGGCCCCGCAGCCCATCCGCAATATTGTCTTTCAGTCTGCCGTCCCCAAGGTAAGACAGCTGCTGGGGCTGAGCTCCCCAGATTCGGCCAAAGCACAATTCTACTTCTGCAGGAAAAACAGGGTGGGTGAAGAGAGCTCTGTGGGCATAGGAGCAAATTCTGTTACCTTCAGATTAGCACAATGTTTTTCTCTTTGACTAGAGAGCAGAAGCTTCCCAAGTACAGGAGCAGGGCTTCTGGCTGCCAAGTCTCACTCTCAGGAATGTGGTCTTCTCTCACTCTCTCCCTAGATAATGAAGGTGAAACTACAGCCTCCCTCAGGCACAGAGCTGCCAGCGTTCAATCCCATCGTCCACCCCAGTGCCATCACCCAAGTCCTGCTGCTCGCTAACCCACAGAAGGTAACAGCATTGTTTCTGGGGCACGAACAGAGGCTGGTCTTGGTGCTTGGGCAAAGCCTCACTACCCTATATCCCTGTTCCCTCTACTCAGCAGCATCTGAGATGTGAATGCTTTGTTCCTAATGCCTTTCTTTCCCTTCTTCTGACTGCTTATTCTTTTTCTCCCATCTCCAGGAGAAAGTGAGGCTACGGTACAAACTGACCTTCACCATGGGAGAGCAAACCTACAATGAAATTGGAGATGTGGACCAGTTTCCCCCACCAGAATCCTGGGGAAACCTCTAGGGCCACATGTTGCAGGCACTACACTGCAGATTCCTTAGGAAGCCAACCCTGTGGGGCTGGAGCAGCCAGACAAAATGGGAGGGTGG